TATTTGACATGATCATAAAATCAATTCATTATTTTCATTTCAATGATAAATACGATGGACCTTTTTTTATTTTTTATAGAGTACATATTCATTGAAATATGTCATATCTATGCGAAGAATAATCTTGATACTTCATAATGTACTAAAAGTTCTATTTTTTTTCTTAAGCTGGTGTCTAGTTGGCCAAAATTGTAAGACATTTTTCGACACCATTATAAGGTTCTTTAAAACTTTGTTTTTACCATTTTGTAGAGAGGAAAAAGTTGTACAACATATGTGAAATTCAGCTTGGGTACTTTTAAAATGACTAAATGGCAGCTGATATACTGAAAATAGTTGACATAGTTTTCACTTTAAAAATCGTCAATCTTAGATAGTATTTGAGAAACAACTTCCGATCATAACATTGAAATATAAGTTGTAAATAGTTGATTTTGTTTAGCTTTCGATGCTCTATCTTCTGGTATATTCCATTAATAATTTCATTGATTTATTGTCATTTAAAAATATTCAATTTTTTAGGAATAATTTTTGACAATATTTTGCAAATAACCTTGTCAGTGCTAAAAAGTCGAATCGGGCTAACTTTTCACCAGCTCAACCAAATGCGCTAAAAATTTGGATTTAGAGGTTTTGGATGATGCTGAATAAGAGAGAATATCAAATCAAAAAACTAAATTTTCACGAATGCTTCGATATCGATCACGATGCTCAATAGGCTCGTGGATCCTCTCTTAAAGATGTCACTTAAAGATATGTTACTAATTTTTAACAAATAGTACAATAAAGAAATATTAATGAAAAAATTTTTGCAAAATTTATTTCTCGATTTAATAAAAAAACTTCATTCACCATTGAATCAAGAAGGAAAAAAGAAAATTATTTCAAACTAAATTTTATTTGACTTTTTTGTAGTCAAATAGAAGATATAGCTAGTATGTTAAAAGAAAGGGAATTACATGAAAGACAAAGCGATTCATTTGCTTGAAAATTAGTACGAGGAGAAATCGATAAATAAGCTATTTAGTGGTTTTTTTGCTTAAAACTTTTTATTTCTAAAATAAAAATTTTTCAGGATGATATAACAAATGAATATATTTATTTAATAAATAATGAAGAATGTGAGAAAGGTTTTATTTCAATTGAATATAATTCTGTATTAAATAAATATTTTTGTAATAAAATTGAAGAGATAAAAAAGATGGTTGGATTGAAGATGAACAAATTCTTGATATACCACAAAGTATTTATTTATTTGATTTAATTAAAGTTTTTCCTTATTTTTTTAATTTCGATTCAAATTCATCATTTGAATATGTTAGAAATGATAAAATACATTCTTTATCAAATCTTCGAATTGGTCTTAAAATAAAATTATGATAATACTTACGAGGGAACTTCCCGAGGTGTAACCTCCCGTTTTGATTCATTTATATCTCATTTAAGTGAGCATATTGAGATAGTAAATACCCTAAAAGGATTTGGGTTCCTGCTT